ACAATAAAAGAATAGCATACAATATAAAAGAATGGAATAGAAAATAGCATATTAAAAAAGAAAATAATAGGAAAAAACAATACAATATAACAAAACAGAATATAACTGTCTTCCAAATAAATAGAATTGATTAGAATAGAAAGAATAGAGAATAGAATAGAAAAAAAAAAATACAATAAAACAAAATAGAATGAATATACGCGTCTTTTGAATAGAATACATTTGAATAGAATAGATTAGAATAGAAAATAATAAAATAGCACAGAATAGAAAAAACAATAGAATAAAATAGAATATAACTCTCATCCAAAATTTGAATTTCAAATAGAGTAAATTTGAATTAAAATAAATTAGAATAGAAAAGAATAAAATAGACTAGAAAAAATGGAATAGAATACAAAAAAACATTAAAATAAAATGAAAAGAATATAACTGTCTTCTGAATTTCAAATTTTGAATAGAATAAATTCGAACAGAATAGAAAAGAATTCAATAGAATAGAATAAAATAGAAAGAATATAACCATCTTTAGAAGTTCAAATAGAATAATTTAGAATTTGAATGCCAATTTAAATTTTCCAAATTCAGTTAAATTGAATCCAAATAGTTTAGTATCAAATTCGAAAACAAAATGAAACATATTCCAAAAACAAATGTAAACGAAACAAAACTAAGTAACAAAACAAAATAATTTTTTTTTGTTCGGCACATGTCCAAAAAAATTATACAAATGTCATTTGAGTACAGCATTGCATGACCGCACAACTATCCGTTAAAGTAACGCAGTGCCAAAAAGCAAACAATGACCTGGTCATGAAGGGGGTAAATCTTCTGGAGGTCAAGTGGTTAAACTGAAGGGGTTGTTTCACAAAGTGAGGATTTCCAGTCACTTTAAAAGTCCCATCTTTTTCTCCTTCTTGGTTTTTGCTATGATATAAAGTATATTGTGCTTGGATTTGGCTTTTCCTCTTTTGGCTCAAGTTGATGGATGTATCATTTATTAAATCTATGCGCACAGAAGTTTTAAAAAAAAAACACAAATTTGTATGATCACATATGATATCAAATATATTGCAGTCATACAGTATATATATGTCAAATTATTTATTGTATTGGTATCAAACATGTTTGTTTCAAATATCTGTGTATGTTTTTCAGAGTACAAAGAAAAGCACAAAAAGTAAAAGAAAAGTCATCAGTATGGTCAACCAACCAACATCATATTCCATCTTCCAAACAAATTACAATCCAGCTAACCAAAAGAGAGAAAACATGGAGAGAGAACATAATATTGATACTATCCAAAGAAGAAAGGAACCTGGAGGGGAGGGAGGTTGGAACCAAGCCAGTTAAAGTGGTTGTAAACCCTTACCTATACCACGTGTAATGACTATCCTCAGCTGATACAGAGAGGGAACTAATCCTACATAAGTTATACCTGTTTACCAGCTGTCTTCCTCCGACATCCAAAGTTTAGAATTTACAGAGGATTTCTCAGCTCTGAAAACGGGGCGGGGAGCTGAAGTTACGTCAGTGAGAACTCTGAGAGCTGATTGGAGGGAAGGGACCCACCCCCTTCACACTGCACACAGGTACAGAGCTGAGGCTATTGATCACATGTTGTGCTCTCCCTGTCACCATTTTGCTCCTGGTGTCAGGAAAACTTGTCAGAAGTGACTCATACAGATAGAAGAGGAAAGAGGCAGTAGACAGAAATTACACTTACTGCTCTCGATTGAGACAGGCACACACTATAGAGGGATATGCTTTGTTCATGTTTCATTGCTGATGTTTACAACCACTTTAAAAAGTTCTGCAAATGGTCTCCAAGATAGATAAATAAGTTCACCACATATGGAACAATCCAGCAATACAGATCTGCCTATGTAAAGAAAGGTATTAGCTCACAATGATGAAAGAGCACGAAAGCTGCCAGTCTTGGTGAGCCCGCCAGCATGTCCATATACAGTAGTGCAGGTTTTTTTTCAGGATCATCGCTGTCTACAGCTACTAGAGTTTCCATCTTCATAATGTAATTTAGAATTTAGGCCCATTCCAAAATGTGTGGTGGGGTAGTGGGTTTCAAATGGTGAGAGATAGCTTCCCATTCAGGCACAAGGCAATGACTCATTATACCTGAGAGAATTGGGACCACCGAGCATTGAAAGAGAAGCCACTTCAGTTGAGGCCACAACATTAATAGACATTTTGTATTGTGTGGTGAATATATTCTGCCAAAATGGGACTATTTCCTTCCATGTCCACCAATTGTGAAGGTAAGAACCATCCCCTCCAGCAAGTTCTGGGGATGGAGGGATAAATACAAATTCCTGTTGGATGTTAGGTAAACTAGTGAAGGGCTGGGTAAGCCTTCTTGGCATCTACTGGCAATAGGCATAGGGGGGGGTTCGCTTAGTTTGTGCATGATCAATAAGAGTCAACATGCAAGACGTATTATCTCTAGCAAATTCTACTTGATCATTAATTAGTTTTCAATGCATTCCTATGGGAAACCACATTTCAGTTTACAAATTTTTCGCAATATGAAAAGTCCCACAGAACGAATTAAATTCGTAAAATTGGTAAAAAAGCATGCAGATAAGTTAAAGTAGGCTATTCATAGATTTCATATTTTCATGATTTAGGGGCCCATTCATAATGGAAAGTGGATATACATGTTTGCAGACACCCAGTCATTCATAAAATGCAGGCAGCATTGTGAAGCCTATAACATCCCACTATGTTCAGTTATAAGTGGAGGTCTTATTTCAGAGAGCAAGTGACTGGTCTCACCTCTCAGCTTACTTTTTTTTTTTTTTTTTTTTTTTTTTACAAGTTATTGTATTGAATGAAGACACGAAATGCAAATTTTGTAGATCACGTTGTAGTTATTTATTAAATTATGAACATCACAATTATTAGTGCAAATAGTTTAATCTGTACTCCAGAGATTCTATGGAACCTTTATATCTTTACAAAGTAGATTTAAAACAATTATATACTTAAATGTCATTCTGAAGTGTACCATCTCAGAATATTACTTGCAATAAGGTACCAAGTACCACTGGTATATGAATGTTGTGGTCAGGGTGGCTTGCAAAGAAAACAAAGAACTTCACCTACATAACTCCCCTGTAATGTCACCAGGCATGTTACCCTATATGCTATTCCTATACATCTGCCTATATTTTATACCCCTCATTATTACAGTACATTCAAAGGCATAACACTTCTCCAGCTTTGCCTTTCACATGAGCACTGTAGTCTCCCAAAAAAAAAAAAAAAAAAAAAAAAAGATTCAGCAGACACACTTCATCTTTTAAAAAAAAATCACAATGAAACTGGAAATGAGAGTAATAGCAATCATGTTGGTTATCGTTCACCTACAAGAGGTGTCCAACCACTTTGAAGTAAGGCCCCCAAGTGATCGGGTGCCCGGAATCACATGTATAAAGGGCCTGTGTGACTAATAAGAATGCGCACTGACACTTTAACCACAGTGCTAGAAGGCTTCAGCATTGCTTGAAACTTCATTAACCTCCCTAGCGGTCTGATTATGTCCATATTTCTGTGCTGAAAGCGGTACATTTTTTTGCATGGAAATAGGTCGTATTTTTACTGTAGGCATGTCATTTTTAGGAATAACTCACTGAAATCTGTCCGAACAAGAGTCTAGTAAACACCCCGGATATGATAAAACTTGAAACACGAAATCATAAATTATAATATAATAAATAATCATAAAATATAATAAATTTAATTCAATAATAATATAAATCAAACCAAAAACCCTGAAATTTGAAATATAGCTCCAGGTTCGCACATCACTGAGCAAAGTCACAAAATCGTTTTCAGTGTCCGATGACAAATTCCCCCATGAATCATTATCACTCAATTCTGCAAGTGGTTCTGATTTACTATCACTGTTCTCTAGCTGGTCTAAAACCGATTTTGACCTAAAGGGACGCTTTTTGGACGCCATGGACGTTTCTCAGTTTCCAGGCAGAAAGAACAGTAAAAATGCAGGCAGGGCACAGGACAAAGCACTCGGGACAAAATGTATGTGAAATGGTTTGCTACAGTAATGTTTTACTATGTGATTTTAGTCTATTGAGTGAATGTCACTTTTTTAAAAATTTTTACATTTGCCGCCGGTTCCGGCCCCCGTACGTCCCGACACTTGCAGGGACCGGAACCCAGGAGACGGATGCCGGCATTGGCCGAAGGAGATGGCCGAGGACGCTGCAGGGGACACATCGTGGGAGTGCAGGACAAGGTAAGTGATCGAGGGAATCCCAGAGCAACGCTGCAGTGTAATCCCGAGTGTAGCTCGGGGTTACCGCTTTTGGCACTGATAATTAACCCCGAGCTACACTCGGGATTACCGCCAGGGAGGTTAAGGGCTCTTTCACACAGGCATTGAAAAAAGGCAATTGGGTTGGGACTTTACTGCTCCCTGATTGGCTAGAAATGGTCTGCAAAATTGCAGATGGAGGTGTTCACACTGCAGTTAGCTTCGCAGGGAGGCAAGAGTAACTCTGCCTGGAATTGACGCTTTGAAACTTCCTCCATTCACTTCTGTTGAAAAACGCACCACACCGCACCTCAAACGCACACTGTAAACATGCCTAGGGCATTCAGAATGCATTTATGCTGCAGTTTCAAAGTGTCAAAAGTGACAATTTGCCATTTCAGCCTTGTAAAAAAAAATAACCCCGCAACTTGCAAGGCGTTTGAGAAGTGATGCCTGGAGCAACATGAATACCTGTACAATGCATCTAAAATGCTCATAAATGCTATAGGTGCGTTAATACACTTTACGGCAACTTTAAAATTTAAAGTGTTACTAAACCCACAACAGTAAAATCAGTATGTTTATGCAGTAAAGCATGCTTGTTATACTCACTGTGGATTATAAGGGGTTTAATTCTCTGTATTGTTTAAAAATGCTGTTTGATCCTGACTTCTCTGATACCCTTCTTTCAGTGTCCCCCTCTTATCTCCTGATAAGACACTCTGCACATGCTCAGTTTAGTGTGTATTGCTAGAGGGGTTTTTTTTTTGCTTTGCTTGGGAGAGTGCATGTGATCAGCACAGGGCCAAACAGCAGTGTCCAGACCGAGGTCGGGTTCTACATCCTCGTAGGGCAGAAGAAAACTCCTCCTCCAAGCATTAACCAGTGCTCTGCTGAGCACTGATAGAAGTCACAAGACTTCTATATACTGCGGATGAAAAAAGGTATTTAGCAGTTTATATTTACCAAAACAATTGCATTTCCATGTTCTGTGTACTGTGGGAGACCAGATATAGTGAATGCAGGATCCAGGGTTTAGTAACATTTTAATGCAGGTGTGAAAGAGCCCTAATTAAGAAGTTAGGAATTCTAAAAAAATAAATAAAACATCCATACTCACCCCTCTGCTGCAGTTGTCCCGCCAGCTTTAATACCAAAAACTGAGCGATCACATGACAGCTGATCACTCAGTTCTTTGTATTCTCTGAGCAGAGAGCGATGACTGTCACTGGTTCTTTGCTCTGCCCCTTCAGTGCTCACTGGAGGGCTGGGCTGTGTAGGGGGTGGGAGAGTGGCTGGATCAGGCTCTCAGCAGCAACCTGAGAGGTTGAGCCAGCTGTTGGTCAGGCATCTGGGTGGACTCTGACATTATTGTCAGGATCCTTCCAGAGCCTGGAGCGACAGTCTGCTGATTCTAGGTCACAGGAGAGCACAAATAAGTGCAAAATTGTGACCCAGATGTGTGGCCAAAAAACGTTTGGCTATACGTTTCTTTTAAAGTTACAGTCAGCACTCCCATTTTGATCTGTATTTAACATCCTCAAACTGGAGCTTGAAGCAGACCGTGCACTAAAATGTCTAAGGTCTGCTTATGTGGTTGCACCAACACCCCTGCTGTCAAAACACTGCATTGGGGGGCACTGAAAAAAAAAAAAAAAAATATATACCTTACTCTCAGGCTTCCAACATACTCATCTAAAGAAGGTGATATCAGTGGGTATTCGTCCAGGATCCTGTGAAGGTTGAGGATCCCAAAAATTCCTGGGATCACACTCCTGTACAGTGCTGTAACATCCTATTACAAGATTTGGATCCCGAGCTTTCCCCAAGATCTCTTTGTGGGGTCCAGAGTAATCAGTGACAGGAAGAGGCTGTAAGGTGGGTATTTTTAATGTATTTTCTGTAATGCAGTGTTTTATCAGTGGGGGATGGTAGCAGCCACATATGCATACCTTGCATTCTAGTACAAGGTCTGCTTTGAAAGCATGAACAAATCTGCTCAAAATTTGCTAAAACCTATGCATTTGCTTTGTATCTACTGCTCATATAGAAGCTGAAGGTGGAATATGCTACAGAGTTCCTTCACAGTTGCTTTTATGCTACAGCTGCATCAAGCTGCTTTTGAATTCTCATTGACTTTTTGGCCTCCTGCACACTCGACATTTTGCCAACTCTCCTAGAAGCTTTTCCTCCTGGTAGCAGCGTTTTGGCAAAAAAAAATGCTTGCCGCTTGTAAAAGTGTGTAACGCATTTTAGGTGCTTCCAGCATTGGGTGTTAATTCATTTGAATGGCCATAATAATAATTTATTCTGGTCACTGACATTAAGGCTCAAGGGCTAAATGAGCCTGCCGAAACGTCGCTGCTCCTGGATGCAGTGGCAGTGGGTTTTTTGCTGCCTCTAAATGCCTATATGTGCATGGACACAGGCTAACATGAAGCAGTGAATAAAGGTGTGGAGGGGGGGGGGGAGCCAGGTGCCCCTAGGAGCAGCCGAAAACACGTCCAATATGCATGAGGCCTTACGGGAGAAAAACAGTTGTAAGGCAAACACAAGCCCTATGAAGGTCAAAAAGGTCCTTGATCTTAACAAATAAGTCCCTAATACAATGTAATACAAATGTCAGTCTGGGGATAAATAAGGTGAATTGGTAAACCAGACACCCAGGACAATTTGTGTTTTGTGTTTGTCCTTTAAGATTGTGTGGAAAGCATGCTTCATCTATGTTTTTCCCCATGATCAACACTGACCATGATATACTGACATACAGTCATTATTATTTTGTAAATACTACACATGCTCGACTGTTGGATGGGATGTTTAAAGCGGAGCTCCAGTCACAATGCAAAAAAATAAGTCAGCAGCTAAAAAAAAACTGTAGCTGGTGACTTTTAAAAAACAGCCACTCACCTGTCCCACTATCCCGCGGTGTTCTCCCTGAAGCCCGTTTCACCGGCCGTCTGGTGTTCCAGGCGCCGGCATATTCAGTGTGGGCACCTGGCTGTGGCAGCTTGTGGCTACACAGCCGGATGCCCACTGCACATGCGCGAGTAGCTCTGCGCTTCTTGAATGGTTCCGTAATCTTCTGGGACCTGTCACGTGTCCCAGAAGACTACGCAGAGGGAGGGGGGACAACTTCCGCTTCTGATCGCTTAGGCAGTGGAAACAGGTACTCGTCAATTTCGGGTACCCGCTCCCCAAAGGTGCCAAGGAGGGGGGTACCAAGCTTTAGAGAGGAACTTCCCCTTTTGGGTGGAGCTGCGCTTTAAGTACTCTTAAACAGCCACAAACCAAAATAATCTTAAAAAGTTGGTACCAAAAGCCTGCTCAAGGCCATGACAGTATCTCCGATACCACCAAATTAAACTTAACAAGTACATGAAAGATAGCAAAAACTTGTCTAAAGTAAGATAAAGTCATATCTTTATTCTTCTGTTGGACTATTACATATAGTACAGGTTACACCAATGGCCCTTCTGCTGTTCTATCAGAAACTTGAGGGTAAAAGGAAGAGTAAGGATCCATTTTTTTTCTGTATGCTCTCCAAATGTGAGCGATGCTGGCTATGATGGAGGACAGTACATGGCTTTGATGAACAGTCTCACGGTGAGCCTCTGCTGAAGCTGGGATACAACATCACTGCGGTCACAGCTACCAACACCGCCATCACAGTCATCCAAGGCCACAGTTTCTGTAAAGAGGAAGACACAAAAACGTCAATTAAAATCTAGGCATAGAAGAAAACTTAAAGACCATCATTGGCTGTAACTTAAAGAATAAGTTTACCCTTTGGAACATGTCACGTCCCACCCATTTTTAGGGTGGAATATGTAACATGTTCCAACAGCTTGCAGCCTGTCCCCAACCCTCCCCGACCCCATCACAGCAGGCAGGGGATTTGCTCCCCATGCCAGCTGTCAAAATAATAAATAATGCGGCCTCTGCCCACATGCCTCAGTCATTCATTCACAATCTCCTGCGACTCAATGCCTACAAGTTGTCGTGGCTGGTGGCTTATAGTTCTCAATGAGAGCACATGTAGGCCATTGATTCTTCCTGCTCTCAAGTAACTGCCTGCCTGTACAAGTTCCCAATAGACAGTTATACAGAGAGTCTGCAGGACTATGAGACTTGCATCTGTGATCTGAAGATTGTGGGTACAATTGCTCGGCATTTTTTTTTTCCAGAAGCTAAACTTATCCTTTAAGGTAGGGGTCTCCAATCTGTGGCCCAAGGGCCGGATGCAGCCCCTTGCTAGTCTTTATCTGGCCCTTGGGGCACTATTCCTCCCACTGATATGAGGCACTATTCCTCCCACCAATACCAATGATGGGACACTGCTCCTCCCACCAATACCAATGATGGGGAACTACTCCTTCTACTGACCACCAAACCTAAGGCCATGTTTATTCTCACTATTGCTGAGCCAGGACATTTTCTGCCCCCACAGGCCACAATCGGCCCCCCTAAAGTCTGAAGGACAGTAAACTGGCCCTTTGTTTAAAAAGTTTGAAGACCCTTTGCTTTAAAGAATGCCAACAGCTCTAGGAGACATTTCTGTCAATGATAGACAGGAAGGTAGAAAGAGAAAGTACACAGCAAGAGAAATGAATAGATAGATACAGATTGGTAAGTAGACAGTTGGACTAAAAGGTAGGTAGAAAACCAGGTAGATTGGTACACAGAAGGGTAAGTATATGTGTGGGTAGATAGGTAAGTATGCAGGTGGGTAGATTGATGGAAAGATAAATAACTAAAAAGGATTTATTTATCCACTTGCTGGCAGCTCACAGTACTTTTACTACGAATGAGCAGCTACAGGCAAAGCGACGTACCGGTATGTCGCTCTGCCTGTACCAACACAGGGCAGTGCCGTGCACCCAAGCAACGCTTCCCCTCCTGACCGCTGTGTCCCGTGGATGCGGATCCCGGTAATCAGGACCCGTGATCATGTGATCGCTATGCAATCACATAATCACAATGCTAGTAAACCTGTTATGAATCAATCTGATTCATAACAGCATCGCGGCTGTTCTTGGAAAGATGTGATTGGCCTAAAGCTCTCACATGGTACATGGGTCAATCACAACACCCTGTACTATGTGACCAGTTGCAGCCAATCACAGATCACTGTTTTTTGAACGGTCATGAACTTAACCTATTCATGACAGAGAAGCAAGCAAGCAAGCAAGCATCTTTATTGCTCCTGCAATGCAAAGTGTTAAAAAAAAAAAAAAAAAACCCTGATCACCCCCCCCCCCCCCCCAGAGTAATACAATGTTACTTACTACTTTTTTTTTTTTTTTTTTTTTTTTAACTACTTGCAAACTGCCAGCAATGTGCAGGTGAGCAGCAGCTCTGGGAAAAGAGCCTGCTATTTTCGTGTGTGTTCCCCCTGCTGCCCCCTATGCCGATACAGGGAGAGAACACCACACTGAGTAAAACACTACATTTTACACACATTATATAAGCACATTTAACGCTTTGATCGCCTTGTCACCCAGCCAGTGCCATTAGTACAGTGTCAGTATATATAATTTTTCACTGATCACTGTATAACTGCCACTAGCAACATCAGATAGCATCAGGGTCTGTAACTGCCCTGCCCAGCCAGGGTCAGCTAGTGTTCTAGATTGCCTGCACACTCACGCTATAGGTTGCTGATCAACCCCATTATTAGTATAGCGTTTGTATGGATCAATATATCAATCACGAACAAAACTATACTAGTGCCTCCTTAGTATAGTGTCCCTAAAAAAATGCAGTGTTAGCAGAAACAGCCTCGTTCACTGACAGCACTAGTGCTTAGCCCTTCCACTGTATGTATGAATTAAT